TGAAGGACCTAATGCCATGTCACCTGTCATTTAACACACCAGCCAGACAGGATAATTGGCCTAGTTTCTACTATCCTGTATTTTCTCCCAATTATTCTTCTTTCCAAGTAACTGGAGATGCACACAGAGTGACCAGTCCCCATCCAGTGACCAGGTGCCCTTGTTTAATCAAGTTACGCAAAGTAAGATATTTCTTAATGCAGCCACTCATTTGTTTTGCTAATGCTCATCAAGAGGAGAAGAGATAAGTATGATGGGTACCTCTCAGTCATGGTGCCCTGGGGCAAATGTTAAAGTGAGCTCTGATCTATAAGGCAAATAAACGAAGATAGGAGAAAGAAACCTGGTTTCTTAGAATTAGGATTGCTGATAAATTCAGGATAAATTCTTCCAAGATGATGTGCCTAAAAACTCCGATGTTCAGCAGGAGAGGCAAATAATTTGGTGGGAATGACTTCTTAAAACAAAGTAAAAAAGCAAGCAGAAAGATTTTCTAAAGGGGGAGGGAGATTTAGAAATAGAACAGACAGCAAGCACCCGGGATTAAAACAGCAGGTCAGCAAGGAAGCTTCACAGAATATTCCAGCACACAGACTACAATGAAAACACAGTGGCTCTGACAGCTCCAGCAACATATGACACAAAGGCAGAGAGGTACACAGGCACTAGTGCTACCCCAGCCATCAGGGACCTGGTGATAAAGACCAACTCAGTCTTTCAGAGTTCCAGGGACAGAGCTTGCTAGCAGCAGTACCCTGAATTTATCAGCAATCCTAATTCTAAGAAACCAGGTTTCTTTCTTCTAATTCCAATGCAAATTTAAACACTTCAAGTAGACCACTCTTTCTTCTTGTGACTCCATGGAGTCTACTGCTCATAAGTGTTATTTAATTTGGGTCCAAAGAAATAAAAAAAAAAATTAACTTTATTTTTTTTTGTGGTGCTACAGAGCAAACCCAGGGCCCTATGCATCCAAAACAAGCACTCTACCGCTGAGCTAAACCCTCAATCTCACTTTTCACTCCTGAAGGACTTTTCCCTAGGCCATTAAATGTTCACAAAACACTGCACAAGTTCTGTGTCCAACTCTGTGCACAGTTCATCTAAGTTGATTCAGCTTGACAAGGCCTGCTATGAATGAGAAAGTAGAGAGCTACCCCGCCCCAGCTAGAGAGGTCAACCCAATGGATCTAATTAGGGCTTGTTTTAGGAGACTATCAGTACATAGTGACTGATTCACGTTGTAATCCATCATAGCACACTAAGTCTACATTATTGTTGAGTGACAGAGACCACTGTCTGGTAGCTTCCTAAAGGGAGCCCCCTTTCTGTGAGAGCATCTGGAGTCACTCTGGCAGTGCTGCCTAAAGAAACCAGGTGAGTCTCTTTCTAAAAGCTGAATTTACAATTCACCTATTTTGTTGAACAGTATCGCGAACTTGACATGAAGAGGCCAGAGGCTGTGAACCTGAGTGACAAGGCACTGGCAAGATAGTTCTCAAGTACTGAAGTAAACCTGAGTATTCAGGGGTTCGCCTTTCCTCTGGTGGTACAAAGTCCTCACTAACTGTTACCACCTTAGTTGTCTGGGATAGCACTATTTGGAGGTCTCAGAATTACAAAAAGAAGAACAAAGTGTTATGTATCATAAGGCAGGAATTTCAGTGGAGACTAAATAAATATACAAACAAGGAGTCCCTGACCTTAAGCAACAGGGTTTTTCCCAGATCCTTACACCATTACTTGGAATTCTATTTCACAAAAAAATCCAAGTAGTCCTTCATTTGGAAGAACTCTAACATGAATTGCAAGTTCTTTTGGGGTAATCAGAACGGATTCTGAGGTTCATGAGTTGCAAAGCCCAACATTCATGAGAATACACACACTTCCTTTGTTCTCACAGCCACCGCTGAGATAAACAAGGAAGATGCTACTGCTACCATTTACTGACAAGTAGCTGCTTTTTTCAGTCTGAGATCATTCACCCTAACTTATATGTTTACTTCTGTTTTAAAAAAAAAAAAAGGCTGGTTAAAATTGGTATAGAGCCACTTTCTTTGTTTAGCAAACATCAGTTCCCAATCAAAATACTTTGAAGCATAAGATACTGTGAAGTCCACTGGAGTGACATCTCTTACCTTGTCCGACTCACTGATGCAGTGGAGATCTGCAGAAAACCCGTGGGCCACAGCTTGCTCACTTATTTCTTCTGCTATGGCCTTTGCCTGGCCTCGCTGTGTAGCATATAATAACAAGAACCTCCTCATTGCACGAGGCATGTGCTGTGACTATGAGAGTGACACTGAAAAACAGAAACAGGAAAAGAGAAATTTTCTTCTTAATGAAGTAGTAACAACCTCAACATAGGAATTCTACCTCAATTTTCATAAAGGAATGAAACAATATTCACACAATATGAAAGCCTTCTCTAAATTTATTTTTTGCACTGATTTTAAATAAACCTAAATAACACAGAATTCATCAAAAGTAGGGAGAAGACAAGACTAAAGTTCTAATTTCATGGTTCAGAAATCAGATTATGAAGTCAAGCTACTTCTGGGTCCCCAAACTGTCATTCAGAAGTGAACACCTGTAGGAAAGCTACTTAAATGTTCTGAATCTTAGCTCCCTAGTCCTCAAATTACGATTCTACCTACCTGATAAAGGATATGACACACAAATCACCTCAGCAATGCTCAAGCCATAATATCACTTAAAAAAAAAAGTTTTATCTATTTTTTCGTTAATCATTTTAGTATCAAAAGTGCATATGGTAATAAAAAGAAAAAAAATATTTCCATCCTAACTTCTTTTTTCCCCCTGAAGAGTCAACCAGGGGTAAAATCAACAGAGGCTAACCCTTGTCAACTTATAGACAAAAATGAAATCCAAATCAAAATACTGGCTTTTGGTGAACAAACCACCCATACTTTCATGCTCCTCTAGCTTACCTAAAGCACAAACAAAAAGCCTTCACATGTTAACTGAATTACTCTTAGGAACGGAACAGCATGGCACAAGGTGCTCAGCTAAGTGCCTGAAGAGCGAAGCGAACGTGGCCACGGTGACCCTGCGAGTCCAAGGCTCAGCGAGGATGTGGTGTCACCCCTCCGGCGTCAGAGCCGGATAACCTCGCGAGCCGCACGCTGTCCCGAGGACCTCGGGGGCCCCAACTTTCGCCGCGACTGCCTAAGGACGAAGGCGCCAGCCACGCCTCCGCGGAGGTTCCCCGGCTCCAGACCCGCAGGAGCAGCGGAAGAGAATCGCGCAGCGGAGGAGACCCCACGCCCCGGCGACCCCGTGCAGGAGGCCAACACCGCGTACCCCTGGACCCCAGCCGACCTTCGAACCCACGCCCAAACCCCCGATGGCCTCTGCTGCGTCCCAGCTGGGCCTGCAGCTGGGAACCGCTGCCTCCAGGGCGCTCACCTGCGACGCAGGACCCTGGCTTAGCAAAATCGGGGAGTCTAACCAGAGCACAGGCGTACAGCCGAAGTGCGCATGTTCGGTACTCATGACCAATAGGAAGCTCCGGAGAAGACTTGAGCCAATCACAGGACTCTAGATGTGGGCGGTACAGGGCCAATTCTGCATCTCGCGCTTGCGCCAAGCTGCTTCTTTCCGCCGCGGCGTTCGTGTACGGGGACCCACGAGGGTCCAGCCTCTGCCGCTACTTGTAGCGCTGTGCGGGCGGAGCCAGGTAAGTGTCCACACGGGTGCTCCGCCTGCGCTGCTCGGCTGGCTGTGCACAGTGCTGGGTCGCTGGCCCTTCATGTGCGACGCCCCCCGGAACAGAACCACAGGCTCCGCGGCGCTGGGTTCGGGCGCTCGGCCCGTGGGGGTCCTTTCTTCGCTGGGGGACGCGACCCCGGCTCCCGGCTCCCGGCTCGTCTGCCCCTCGCGCTGGGGTTCCCTGGTCCCCCGGCCCCTCGTTGGCTTCCCCAGTTGGCTGCTTTGCTGTTTTTCTCTGGTTGCCAGGGTAGCCCTCGCCTCTCCCCTGTCCTGACACCCGCGGGGAGCCGCGCGTCCCCTGCCCTGCCCGCCTCCCCGAGCTGGCCCGCGGGATTTGAAGAGCTCCGCCTTTGGCCGACGGAGCCCTCCCTGGACCAGCCCGGAGGACGTGCGGCGAAGAGCTCGGGGTTTGACTCCCACCCAGCTCGCACTTACTCGCGATGCCCAAAGCCTGGTCCTGGCTCCATCGCCGATCTAAAAAAGACAGGCTTTGAGAAAAAGGAAGGAGTTTCATTGCTTTGCTAGCCAAGGAGGAACACAGAGGACTCCTGTCCTGGAGGCTGTGATCCCCCCTGCCAGGGGGGCGCAGGGCTTTTTAAGAAGGAACACAAGGGCTGGGATCCCAATGCAGTCAGATATAATTACTTAGTATCCAGCAGATGTCTTTGAGAGAGGCATTGCTCCAGTTCCCAGGTTTGGAGTTTGTTTATTCTTGTGGGTAGTGATATTCTTCCAGGCAGTGGAAGACAGGAGTGCTTAGCCTGGGATAGGAAAAGTGTTAGTATTGTTTCCCCGGTTGTTAGGGAGGAGGAAAAGTGGAAGAGAAAAAGGGGGGGAAAATGTCAGCCACCTGCAGGTTTATGCTCAAAGCATAAGGTGGCCCCCTCCCTCTTAACACTAGCTGTGTAAACTGGACACAGTAACTTTTCTGTGCCTCACTTTCTTCTTTGGCTGTCAGATGATGACAAAAGTAGATAATTTGTATAAGTGAGTACACCTATAAAGCACCTGGAACTGTGCCTGGCAAGTGACAGCAATTGTTTTTGCTATCAGTCACTTTCCCAAGCTCTGGGACACAGAGACCTACCTTTCTAGTGCTTATATACAAATGGGAAATTTTTATTTATCCCTGTTTTGGAGTACCCGTCCTTTTTTTCATGGACATTGATATACAGTGAGTCATGTGCTTTGTATTTGACCTTGTCTTTTTATTTTACAAGTCCAGAAGAGCTGAGAATTACATGGCATGGCTTTAATTACCTTGCGAAGGAACTTCTGTCATTTGTCTGATTTTCGGATACATGGAGCTCTGGCTGCTCTGAGAAATCATCCTATAAATCATGTTCACAAGGTATCCAAAGAGCAACTGCATCCTTGGTTCTGTTCAGTACAGTATGAGCCTTTCAGGATCCATTTTCATCATGCCTGCTATAAAAAGTTCCACTTACAAAATGGAAATGAACTTCATCCAGTTGGTGAGCCAGCATTCTCTCAGGGACAAGACTGGAACAAGTTTGAACAAAATCTTAAAAATGAGGATGAACAGATATTTTACAGGAAACTAAACGAATTCACTTCATCAGAAGAGGTGTTGAGTTTTATAAAAACACTGGAAACTCTGCCTGATGCTATGGCTGCAGGAGCCTTACAACGGATCTGTGAAGTAGAGAAAAAAGGTGGTGATCAAAGGCTGCCCAAAGAAATACTAGAGAGCAGTGTCTTTCAAGCTTTATGTTTTCAGCTTGAACGGGAGCCCTCACAGCTGTCAAACTCTGGTTTGCTGACTGCTTTGCAAGCTCTGATTTGGTTGCATGTGGATACTCAAAGTAGCTTGGTACTGAATCTCGTGGCAGAATGCCAGAATCGTCTCAAAAGAGGTGGCCTGGAAGTGCATGATCTTTGTGTTCTTGGGGAGAGTCTGATTAGACTGCAAGGCCCAGGTTGTATGACACTAGAACTGATTATCTATCAACTGCAAGGTGCAAAATTGGAAGTATTTACCCCAGAGGATATTGTGGCCCTTTATAGAATACTGCAGGCATGTGCTGAAAAAGTAGACCAACACCAGACATTTTTAAATACGATAAACAACTTTTCCCTTTCAATAGTTTCCTACCTGAGTCCTAAATCCATTAGCCAAATGCTTACTGCTCTGGTAGTTCTAGATCAAGCTCAGGCACTTCCTCTGGTTATAAAATTGGGTAAATATGTTGTGAGGCACATTCCCCATTTCACTAATGAAGAGCTCAGGAAAGTCATAGAGGCTTTCATATATTTTGGACACAATGACAGGTTTTTTATCAAAGCCCTAGAGCGGCATGTAGCTGCATTCTGCCTCACCTTGGATGCTGATGTTGTCAGCAAAATCATGGAGTACTGCAGCAGAAAGCTGATTCTTTCAGAACCCATCCTCAATGCAGTGGCAGAAACTTTTGTTAGCCAATCAGAAAAATTATCACCTAGTCAGATTTCTGAGTTAATTGAGCCATTTGGAAAACTAAATTATTTGCCACCAAATGCACCTGCTTTATTTAGGAAGCTAGAACATGTGTTGTTCACCCATTTCAATTATTTTCCACCCAAAACATTATTGAGACTCCTCCATTCATGTTCGCTGATTGCACACCCTCCAGTCAACTTCATGGGAAAAATATTCAGCCCTTTTTTTCTTCAAAAGCTTCAAGGCAAGTTGGTTATACTTTCTGACACTTGGATATAACTAACCTTTGAACTTGTGATGTTTTCAGGTTACCTCGGTACCATTTACACAGCAATACTCTGCCTTCATTTTTTCTTGAAAGTGAGATTGGAAGTTTTAGATGCTAGTGTAAACACAGAGCTGGGACATTGTGCAAAGGGAGGAAAGCAGCCTCAGATATACCTGACTGCTGCCTGGCTGGGGTACTGCAGGGTTCCTGGGGGACATGGTAATGGCAGTGATAAAAGCCATTATAGTGTCAGAACCTTTGTTGAGTGAGCAGCTGTTACTTTTTTTAAGAGGATGGTACTATTTTTTTTTTTTTTAAGTGAAATGTCTGACCTCGCTAGCTTATTTTAAAACTTATTAGGTTTTTTTTTTCTTTTCTTTTTTTTTTTTTTGGTGTGTTTTTGTGTGTGTGTGTGTGTGCGTGCTGGGGATTGAACCCAAGACCTTATGCATTCTAGGCAAGCACTCTACCAACTGAGTCCCCCAGCCTGCTATTGTTCATCTTAAGTCAAGAAAGCCAAATATGTCAAATTCCTCTATATCCATGGTTAAAAGAATATTTCTGCTAATTCTCTAAATATATTTTGTCCTCTGTATTTATTATTTGTAGCTAAGAGCTTAGGTTCTTGGAAATCAGTTTCATTGATGGCAAGAAGAGGACATTATTAATTCTGACAAGTTCATTCCCTAGAGTCATCTGAAGTCATGAGTGTAATGTCTCCTATTCATAATGTTCATTCTCTCACTACCCTACCCAAATTCAAGCTGAACAATAACAGAGGTGTTTTGTATTTCAGGTGAAGAGTCGCATTTGGACAGATTGAGTATGGCACAACTGACCCAACTGTTCCTAACCTCAGTCCTAGAGTGCCCTTTCTATAAGGTAAAAGCATGACTATGAACAGTATGGCCTTGTTTCCTTATGGGGCCAGTTTCCTTTAAAATTCCTTCACTTTAGGTCTCTCAGTACCCTCATTAAAAAATAGAACTTTCCCTTATCTGGTGGTAGTTGCCATCAGATGGGCTTTTCTTGGATCAGTTGGCTCCATTTCTATGCCTTACCCTACAGAGTCTGGCAGGGTTGCCTGGCAGGTCTCATCAAGCGCTGCAAGAGCACACTCCTAGACTCTGAACTTCTTCAGGGTCTCAGCACTTCCTGTGGCTATGGTTATCAAAATGTGAATCTTTGAACTGAACAGATCTAGATTACTTCTCAGTATGTTTTTAAACCAAATCAGAAATTTCACTCTTCTCTGGAATGTGCTTGAGGTGGGTTGTCCTTATGACTGTCCCATGCCTTGTGTAGGATCAGAAATTGTATCACTAGTCTTGCCCATCTCTTGCCTGGTCCTTCGTACTCTTAACGCAGTACTAGAAAGTCTGATTTGGGGAATAATGAATAAGGTTCGGAAAGCACCACTGTTTTCTTTAAAAATAGTTTAGCACAAATATACTTAAAGATAAGTTATAGTCACCCCCAGTCTTCTTCCATCCCTGAAGGAACATTGTTAACTGCAGTTTCTGCACCCAAATGTATACAAATACATAAACACCCTCCGGTTTTTCTCTCTTTATGGGATATAATTTGTTTTTGTGTCCAGGATATTGTGGGCATTCCTGGAATCCCATCATGTAGAACGAAGGCTTTCTTAAGAATGGCATGATTTTTCAGGATATTCGTTCTGCTTTTCCACCATGAAAACGCTTCCTGGACTTTCCACCCCTATCAACATGCGCCAGTAAACATTGTTGTGTGTCTTAATTTTTGTTCTTTAGTCTGTAAACTAGATTCCTGGAATTTGTTTGGGATTAGTCCTGACAGACTCCCCCCCTCCCCATGACTCTTTGTAGATGTCCTGTTTCCCCAGCACTGAAGAGCAGTGGCCTGTCTCCCCAACTCCTGCAGCCTTAGCTCTTTACTATCTGCCCCTGTTGTCATGTCAGAAGTTTACATTGCATTTTAATGAGACCAGTGAAGTCGAGCACATTTTCAAATGTTTTTTAGCCATGTATATGTTCTATGAATTATCTTTCTGCACTTTTACTCATTTCTGTTTGTCTTTTCTTAATGACTCATGAAATAGTTGTTTATTATGTACGTTGCACATATTTTCTCCTGGTTTGTAATTTTTTTTATTACTATTGGGGGGGGTGGTACTAGGAATTGAACTCAGGGGCCCTCAGCAACTGAGCCCCATCCCAGCCCTATTTTGTATTTTATTTAGAGACGGGGTCTCTAAATAATGCTAAGCACCTCATCATTGCTGAGGCTGGCTTTGAACTTGCAATCCTCCTACCTCAGCCTCCTGAGCTGCTGGGATTATAGGCGTGTGTCACCACGCCTGGCTCCTATTATTACTATTTTTAATTTAATATTGTTATGCTGTCATTTTGCTGTATAAAAAATTGTGTTTTTTTAATATATTTATTTTATTTATTTATTGTTATGTGATGCTGAGGATTGAGCCAAGTGCCTCGCACGTGTTAGGCCAGCACTCTACCTCTGAGCCACAACCCCCTGTACAGAAGTTTTTGATACTTAAATCTGTCTTTTGTTACTTCTGGATTTCCTATTTTGTTAAAGAATATCCACCAATACTAAGTCAACACAAATGTCCTACTAATTTTTAAAAATAATATTTTCCTTATATCGTCAATATATCTGCAATTTATTTATTTTTATTTAGATCTTTTAATTAACAAATAAAAATGTACATGTATCTTATTCATGTTATTTTGAAATATGCACATATTTAGCCATTCCATAATGTCTATTAGCCTAAGTATTATCTAATCAACATATGTGTCATCTCACATATTTTGCAGGCGCGCACTGTGTGTATTTATGTTAAGTACACTTCCTCTTCTGTCCTGCCAGTGTGTGTGTGTGTTAAGTACAATTAAGCTCTTCTGTCCTGCCTGTGTGTGTGTTAAGTACACTTAAACTCTTGTGTTGTGTGTGTGTGTGTGTGTGTAAAGCACACTTAAACTCTTCTGTCCTGCCAGTGTTCAAGGATGCCTAACTGTAGTCACTGTCTACAGACTGGGATGTGCTGTGATCTGTCATGGAGGATAGTTAACTTTGTTCTTTTCCATTCTTTTCCACGTGGACAACAAATCACCAGCATTTATTACATCACTGTTCTTTCCTTACTAAGTTAAAAATATCACCTTTATGTCATTTTCCACTGTTAAAACATGAAGTGAGTACTGAAGGCCCGTGAAGCAATTCTAGGAGTTCCAAAGGTGGACATTGTTGTTTCTGCTCTTTCCCTCCTCCCTCCCTCCCATCTCTTGGTTTATGTGACCAATGAGGCTATTTATTAAAACGTATTTAAACTGCAATAATAGGGCTGGGGATTTGGCTCAAGCGGTAGCGTGCTTGCCTGGCATGCGTGTGGCCCGGGTTCAATCCTTAGCACCACATACAAACAAAGATGTTGTGTCCGCCAAAAACTGAAAAATAAATATTTAAAAAAATAAATAAATAAACTGCAATAATAATTATGCATTATCATTTCAGGAAAGATATGTGCCCTAAGTCCTGGAAAAAATATCATGCCCCAATGAAGTAATTTTGTATGAAATGATTATATCCAGGGAGGCTTCAGTTTATTATATGCTTTATATCTTGTTTTTCTTTCTTATATTTGCATGTATGATTTTTAGGGTCCCAAACTATTTCGTCAATACCAAGTGAAATCATTTCTTACTCCATGCTGTTCCCTGGAGACCCCTGTGGATTTTCATCTTTATAAATCTGTGATGATTGGACTGATTGACCTTTTAGGAGCAAGATCATATTTTGCTTCAAAAGTGTTAACACCCTATTGTTATACGATAGGTAAGTAGTACAGGGAGTTCTGTTGGAAGCATTTATCCTCTTTAGATATCTATGGGACTTAGTAGCCATAGAAGGTCTTTGGAAATGTAAAATGCAAATGTCCCTTCCCTGAAAGAAGGGGTTCACAGTAGGGCTAAAGAGTCAAGACCATCTGGGTTTGAGTCTCCCATATTACCACATAGTAGCAGAATGTTTTAGGCAGAGTATTTTAACATTTTCTGCTTACTGCTTCATCTCTAAAGTGAGAGAAAGAATAGTGACCTCAAAGATTTGTTTGAAGACTAAATTAAATTATAATATTGGGAGCAGAATAAATGCTCAGTAATTGTTAGCTGCTGTTATAATCTAGGCTCGTGCTATTGAATACAATAGCTGTCAGTGTATGGTGGTTTAATATTTAAAAAAGCTAAAAACTCAATTTCTCAGTCACACTAGACACATTTGAAGTGCTCAGTAGCCACATGTGGCTTATGCCTGCCAGTTTGGACAGTGCTGATATAAATATTTCTTGCTGCAGAGATTCTCTTGGATATTGCTTAGTAGAGAATGCAGGTCCTTGTGCCCTGACGGTTCTAAAATTGACAGTGAGAGAAAATCACATCATGAAGGAGAGTGGTTCACAGGCTTCCAGTGATCACACTGCACTCCACAGCTTCTTCTGGGCCCTTTTTACAAAAGCCACAGCAGCATTCCAGAGGGGAGGACAGGGAATCTGTCCATGCTCAAGGACCACACGCCGAACATAGGAGGCTTCCACCACGGAGGCAGTGCAGGATGCAGCAGAAAGTTCTGAGGAGCACAGGGTGGCCCCTTAGCTTGCAGGGCTTTCTTTTCTGGAGTGAAGGATCCTGCCACTTGTCATACGAGGAAAAGGAACGTGTGCCTGGTTCTTGTCATGCACAGGTCACCTGAGAACCCACTCTTTGCTTCAGTGTGGTTGAGCCTCCTTAATTTAAGGCTGTCTTGGTTGATCACCAAGCGGATGAAATTAAAATTCTCACCATTGTTGGTTGTGGTCATTACTTTGCAGCCTTCAGCCCACTGATAAGTGCAGTGTGGGGAGATTCAGCAGAGCAGAGGGTGCAGGAGCAAGGGTACGTGTAAGGGTATCACAGAAGAACATTCCCCTTCTTCTCTCACCAGATGTTGAAATTAAGTTAGATGAAGAAGGATTTGTATTGCCGTTCACAGTTGATGAAGACATCCATAAAAGGTAAAGGAAATCGTTGTGGTTTTAATGTTAGATGACTTGTCAACATTAGTAAACTGATATTTTTCTTAAAAGGTGAAAAAAAATAGACATAATTCTGGAAATTAAGATACTACTTTCCAGCACATCATGTTTGAAAAGTCCTTGTAATATTTTGTAAATGTTAATAAAATCGATTACTTTTCCAACAGATTAAAAGACATTCATGATTTATTTTAAAATAGTATCATCATATAAGACTAGTCAAATCCTAACTAAATTCTGATAACTACAAATATATAAATAGTTGTAATTGTTTTGCAAATTTAGTTTTTCTCCTCTTTGATTTCTCAGAGTAGCACTGTGCATTGATGGTCCAAAAAGATTTTGCTCTAATAGCAAACACTTACTAGGAAGAGAAGCTATCAAACAAAGACATCTACGATTACTGGGTTACCAAGTTGTTCAGGTATGGTGTCACCTGTTATTTTTCTCCACAAGTAATTCCAAATTCAGATTTGCTTTTTTTCCAGGCAAAGTTTCAAATTGTACCTTCACAGTACAATTACTTGAGTAAACAGCAATTCTTTAATCAGACAGCCCCAAACCAGAATGATTTGGAGTTTTCTCAAGGGAACATGAACAGGACTTCATAGGGTGAACATAGGAAAGCCAGAGGAAAAAATAGTCTAACTACAGATCTGCAGTTGCCCTGCTTGATCTGTCTTGTTGGAAAATCCCTAGTTATATGATTTCCTGGGATGCTGCTGAAAGGTTTGAGCTGTAGTTCTCTTTTCTCTGTTATATGCATTAACCAAGAATGGCCCAAGTTAAGTGTTGCTTACATCTATCTGTAAATTAAGCCAGGTTTGGGTTCATTTTCAAGGCCTTCCTGGCATTTTCTGCCCAAGGGTTTTTCAGACCCACTCTCCCTTTTAGTTAATTGTACCAGTACTAAGTGGTCTGAAAGAGCAGTGAACCAAGAATATTTAATGTCTAGTTTAAATTTTATGATTTTGTTGATTAGTCTTAAATCTCTTTGTCTTTTATTTTGCAAGGAGTTTCAGAGCACTGATTTTTCAGAATTAGGGCTCCTGTTTTCCTTTTAAGCTCTGCTTAACTCTGCTTGTAAAACCACTAAGTCATTGGAATGACTTATTTTCATTTCTCTCTGATTTAATGAATAAAAACCAGACAAGGTGACCCATTAAGACCGGGCTCCTCATCCACCTTACTGGTTAAGACCTTTGCGTTTTCATTGTAGATTATGTAAGAGGGCCTCTTGGGAGGGGTCCTTGGGGAATGTAAGTGAGTGTCCCTGATCTCTAGTTTCCTATTTGGTGACTTTTCCATTGCATCTTACATATCCACAGATGATTTGTTAAAATTTATTATGCATGTGTGAACAAAACCTTCATTGTTTCTACATTGCTC